CCTCTGTGCCCGCACGGATCGGCCCACAACGCTGGTTCAAGCAAGATTTGTGGACCACGATCAATGGAGAGGGAGCATGTTGCCAAATAATCCCCAGACTTGTAAAACATGTCTTCAGCATGTCTTAATCATGTAAAAAGCATGTATAAAACGTTTTTAGAACATCGTTCCGACATTTTACACACATGTTGAACTCAATGATGGGATTGTTGGGGTGTCCATTGTCATGGTATCCACACAGCAAGACAGCCACACGACCCCCCAGAGTTACGGCGCCGTGATTTCTGTCGCGGCGTTGACACTGGATGTCTGGGCCCCTTCCCCAGCACCCTGCACGGGCTCCCAGCGGCCAAAAAACCGCCCAAAGCCTCCCGTCGTGATGTGTTCGCAGCATTGAGTGGCGTGCTCCTTCCAAACGGCTACAAAACCTCCCAACATTGCTCTCACCCACCCTAGCGATGCCCACTCTCTGCCTGTGTGGATTCACTGTGAAATCAGATCTCGCGCGATGCTCTCTTCCAGCTCTACGCCGTGGCAATGCGCGACAGGGTCCAAAAAGGGTACGGCCTCCTCCCCTGGCAAGGCTTCGGGCTGCGCACAGGCAGCCCCCCGAGCTGGCCCCAACAGCCCCTCGGCCCCGAGTAACTCCTGCGCCCCGTTGGGGGTATGTCTTATTTTTCGTCAAAAATCCCCTTTGTAGGGGGACACGCCAGACTCAAGAGTAGTCCCGGCCGGCCTCAACAGGCCCCCCCCACATAGCCCGGGGCGTCCTCGACACCCTGGCCCCGCATCCCGCCGCCGCATCCCGCCGCGGCGCTCCGCGCCCCAGGCGTGAGGTGCTGAGGCCGGCCCGGAGTGCTCGGGGGGCCTGTTGAGGCCAGCTGGGGCTCCTCGGGGGGCCTGTTGAGGCCAGCTGGGACTACCCGGGGGACGGCAGCGTGCGCAACCCGAAGCCTTACCATTCCCCCCCCTCGCAAGGCGATCGCAAACATGGATCAAGAGGGCGTGGATTAGCGACGGCTCCCGTTTCCATGGGAAATCGCGAGATCCGCTACCGAGCGACCGCGCGCCAAATCCATGGATCGCTAATCCATGCTTGCGCGCGCCCCCGAAGTAAGCAGCATCCACAGAACATCCAAGTTTGTGAATAAGACATAAGCTACTGCTGGCGCCCGTGATTGGGACAACGCTTCATTCACATTCGAAATGTATGGGCTACACCTTACAATCAATTACGGCGAGAGGTCGGTCGCATCGGTGTATCGGGGAGGTGGCCTGTGTCGGAGGGCGCATTGAGAATGAGAGGTGTAGTCCCTGTCTGTCCGTCAGTCCCATTGGATGGGCCCTGCCACACGATTACCTGTTCATCACCATCCTGGCCCAAGGGGCAGGCACCCCTTCTGCCATTCTCTATTCCGCGTCTTTCTGTCGCTCTCCTTCCACACTCCCCGTTCCACAAACGTGGGCCTACACGATGGGCCTTCCTTGTCTTATTCTCGCCCTCGTTTTCTCTGACAATACACCCCGACCACATCCCTCGAATAACAAGAAACTGCACGCTCAAACATCCACTTTCGGAGCTCCGCGCGATTTTCTGGGATCGGGGCTCGCCTCCTTTCCCTGGTCCCTGGCGTGTGGAGCAGCAATCAGTGCGGATCTCCGACATATGATGTTTATGCAGTTCTTCTTTTCTTGAATCCCCCCTTCCTCTGCCACCTTCCACTGTTTGTCGGCACGGGTTGCATGGAGGCCATTCTGGAATTCAACGTTGTTTTTTGCCAGATCCATCGCGGATCAGATGCCAGTAGAATTCGCGCGCGCCTCAGGTGCAATCTTGCTCATGGCGAGCAGGCCCGTTCGCCGGACAGTTCCGGAGGGTCCTCCTTTCTCGCAGCCTGTGAATAGCAGGGCTTCCCAGGGCGCTGCGGGAGGGTTGCGGTGCTCCCCTGGGAACTCGGGCGCGCTGGAGGAGCAGCGTCGGGCAGAGGTGGCCCGTCGATGCTGCGGCGTGGGCAAGACGTCGGGGACGCGGGAAAAGCCAGCAAGGGCGGGCAAGCACGCGATCCCCATCCTCCCCACCCCCTCCGGCCCCCTTGCAGGATTGGTCCATCAGCCCTACAAAATATATACACAGACGCCCTCTAATGGCTTGCTCCTGGGCCTCAGGGTAGGGCGGCGGTGTATACATTTCGACTGAGAACCCGCGAGTTTGTAAACCGCCACCCACCCTCCCTGAAGGTACATGCAAGCTTCGTCGGAGGGTGCGAGTACACATCTACATGTATATACATGTATACCGAGGGAGAGAAAGAGAGAGAGAGAGAGGGAGACACACAACAAACGATAAAGAGAGAGAGAGAGAGCGAAATAAACAAAGGGAATCGTTTGGTTCGGTGTAGAAGGGGGGAGGTTCAGAGGGCGAGGGAGTGGTTCAGATAATGGCAGGGTTATACATTTACATGTAGATGTGCAATCCTTTTTTTTTTCAGATTGTCACGATGCTCAGCCATATGTTCACACATAATTGTATATAGTTATATGTATATAGAACTAAATGTAGATATAACTATATATGGTTCTTTATATATATATAGTTATACATACAGACATATACACACACGTATACATATATATATGTGTGTATATATATATATATATATACGCAAGCTGTGGCTCGAGCTTTCAAGGATCTTCAAAGCGCGGGCGATACGACCAACGCCCCGAAAGTCGGGCTTTTTTGTCACATACTGACGGTCTACATGCGTCTCATATCCAGGAGCCCCATGCCTCCGCAGGATTACGACAAGCGTCTGGAGATATCCCGGGAAATGGAACACATGGATGCAGTTTTCTTTTCAAGGACTCAGACAAACACCACGACCTCCCACGAAACACACTCATCAGCCCAGTTCCGCATGCTGAAGTTTGGCTGGCATCGCAGTATCAAAAAAAACTTTACGGGCGACAGAGCTTGCGGCACGGAGATCTGGTTGAGCCGACGCTGGTTTCGGAAACCACACATTGTAAAAATATGGCACCCCCCACCCGTTATTCGAGGCCGTGTAGGCGCTGCACGCGTGAAGAATTCGCAGATCGATTTCACAACTATCACAGCCCACTTTTTTCCAATATCGCAGCGGCTTGCCAGTGCCACCAAGCAGGGTTTTATCATACATAGGATGCCGAACTACCTACACGATATCCTCCTCGAACTTGCCGAACCGACCCTGCGTGTTCACCGTCACGGATGACGACGACGCCACTATAGGCATACACGCGTAGCGGCAGCAATAATATGCGGGGGAAGCTTTCCGACATTTATGAAGGACTACGCCGTGTGCGCGGCGAGCACGCACCACCCGTGCGGCCCTTTTCTCATGGACTTGGCGGACACATTGGCTACATCGATTACGTCGCGATGCCGATGCGTTATCTGCCAAGAGCGCGGCGCCACAACATCGCCTATCGCCTGACCAAACGACTCCGAGCATGCCCATCACAACGTCTCATGGACCATGTGCTGATATATATATATATATATATATATATATATATATATATACATTTGTATATATCTATAGACGTGGACTGCACCCTTACATCCGACACGCCCCAGACGACGCCGCACTGGGAGTACACCCGCATATCCCTAGCTTGGAATGGCGAGAGTTTCGTAGACTGGGCGAAGCAGCCCCGAGATGACATCGAGATAGGCTTGTCTAGCTACCTCAACGAGAACGGAGGCCGTGACATGGCGGACTGGGCTGAAAGGCGTACGATGGAGTCTGGATGGCAGCATCTATTATCAATGATGCGATCACGAGCCCTGGAATATTTTGTAGCGAAGAAGACCCCGTTCGACTCCGAGCATCAGCAGCTTGCGCAGCAACGCCAACACGCCCTTCACGAAAGCACGATCGCTCGGCAAAATCCCACGGACGATTTAGGGAGCGCGCTCGCCCTCCGACGACGCAGCGCTGTGCGCAAACAACTCCGACGACGATCACGCGATCTCCGAGATGAGCAGCTTTTTGATTAACTACAACAGGCTGACGAACCAAGGCTGGAAGCAGAGGTTTGGCGAGCTTGCAGACGCCTTGCTGGTAACGGTAAGGGACCTGGTAAGCGATGCTATTTCGATCTGCCCGACGCTCGACCCTCCGTTCAGACCTGGACCGAAGCTATGGCACTTCCAGGCGAAGTAGGCGAAACGGAGGCAGCACCTATTGATATCACCTACTTTATTGGCACCGCTGCTGTGAACGACCAACGTTTCTGCCGTGCTACGCATCAGTGGAGCACGCCAGGTGCGACTTCGATGCGGTCAAGCACCGTCTTACGGAAGCATGGCAAACGCCGGCGGGCTGCTTTTGAATGGTCCCGATTTGCAGATATCTGGACGGTTTTATTCATGGACAGAAGTGAGCATCGGGAATATAGCATGGCTGCCGAGAGTTCGACCCCGCGAAGATCTCCCCTGGGCCCCTTCTCGGCGGTGCGATCCTCACCCAGCCTGCTGCAGTGCGTCAACATCAACGGTTCAGTGCGTGGTGGAATCTATCTCAAACTTATTAGGTTAGCTAAACGAATAACAAGATGCGCACTCGAGGCACACGACGCACGTTTGGACAGACATGGGTTGCATCGAGACAAGTGCTCGCGCCCACCCCGCTGGGCGACACGGAGCACGGCTACACGAGGGGGCGCTCGCGATTATTTGCTATCACGGTTGGGCTGGCACTTCAGTGGCGACCCACCGAGCAGCAACGGAGCCGCATCACCACTGAGCATGAAATGACGAACGCCTTCGCATCAGTGGATCATTCCTACCTCGACGCAGCAGAGGTGATTTCCCTGGTGATTCCATTATTCTGAAAGGCGGGCATCGTCGAGCAGCACGTGCGATCAGCGGCGGGATTGACGCTCAAGGCTGCCAAATGACTGCGGCATGCTTCTTGGGTGTTGCCAACGCTGCCCTAAAGTTCAGCGTGTCTTTCATGCCGCCCACAACTGCTTAGAGTGCTGAACTTACCACTGATGCGAGCACTTCGATGATTGCGGGGTGCGAGTTCACGCGTGCCAGCGTCGACCTTAGCGTTCGCAAGTATGCCGGCGACCTTGCCCAGACTCACGCGTGCCCCGACGAGCAGATGGCGGCCTACAAAGCACAGCACTCCGACCAGAGCTTGAACGACGCGCTGAGCACGATTGGTCTGCAACAGAATGCAGGGCAAAAAGGGGCACTACCGGAGTTTGTTGGCGCTGGCGTTTACAGATACCCACGAGCCCTACACTGCCGCGAAGTGCCTGTCGACGGCGAAGTCCATCCCTCGATTCTGTTCTTAGGCTCCACGGCCGCAACCACGTCGAGGTCAAAGCGCGGTGCATTGCTGCTGCGCGCGGCCGTCGCAGCACGGTGCGTTTCTGGAATAATTGCCGATATTTTTGACGGCGCACGTTTTCCAGAGGTCAAGTACTGTCAGCGGCTACCTCTGGACTTGAAGCGCGTGTTCTGACTGAGGCCCAGCGCGATCAGATTAACGCGTGCGTTGCACGGCATGCACGAGCGCTCCTTCAAGGCGCGGCATCTATCAAGCAGTTTGCCGATGACGACGGCCCCTTCTGACGCTACCAAAAGGTGTTCGCAATATCTCATCGCATGAAGTTGGGAGAAACTGAAGATCTTGCCACCTTCCCTGGAAATGCAGATCTCGCGTGCTAAGCGATTACAACGTGTTGCTGGCGAGCCTGCGCATCATGCCCAATTTCTAGCCTGCGCATTTGGAAATCTACTCTGGGGGACCACGGCGACAATGGACTTCCCATGGGCCCCATGCGAGCTCCGATGTCGGAGGCCATGCGCATTTGTCCAACCTGTGGCGCAAACAGTTCTGTGATGATCTGAGTTGCTGCAGGCATTTGCTGGCGGACGCGCGTGCCTCGACGTCATTGGAGATGGTTTGCTCGACATCTTTCGCCCAGCGCCAGGCCGAGATGTTGTCGCGAAGCTCGCGGTTGCGCGCGCGCGAAAGTGGTGGTTAGAACCGCCCGTCCCGCCCCGCAGCGTTCCAGCTGCAACTCTCCCCTGGAAAAGACCCCCATGCGCGCGGCCCCCCGCGCGCCGATGGTGCGCCATGCTTGTTCAAGACCGAAGCAAAACAAGCGCTGGCGACCAGCGGGGTGGGTCGAAGGGCTAGCTAGTGGACCTGGACTCGCTCGAACTGGAGGAGATGGGCATGAAGGACATTCAGCGCGTACTCCCCAGCGCAGTGAAACTGCTGCTCAACGTGGCGATGAGGCAGCGACAGGCCGACGCCACAATGATCAAGACGTGCTTCTCCCCCCCCCAGGCTCCCAAGCGCAGCGGCGATCCGAGCCCAAGTTCGGGCGCCGCCAAAAAAAATGAGAGATTCGCAGCTTGACGGCGGCGCCACATATCGACATAGAGATGGCGAAGATCGGCGCGACCAGCGCCGCGGCCTTCGCAGGTCTGCCCGAAGGACTCCATCAGGAAGGCGCCTCCGTAGGCGGTCTCAACCAGCAGAAACTGACGGTGCTCGGCGACGAGCTGAAAGCTATGGACATCCAGCAGATCGTCGAGCTCGCCCTCTCGCGAAGGCCAGCGACACTCACGACGCAGCGCAGTGCAAGCTGTAGATCAGCCTCACCCCCCCGGGCGACGTCGACCTCAGCGTGATTCGCGACTCGCTCACCCAGGCAGGAGCGAGCTGCAAGCCAGGCCAGGGGCCGATGCTGCACGTGGGGGCGTCCTTCACGCGAAGCTGACGCAGGTAGAGGACGCGCTCATGGGCTAGAGATTTTTTTTTTCACATGGACAAGGCATATCTGCGCGCAGTGGGGCCCCCGTTTTCCGCAGAGTACAACAGCGATGGGCAATGGGGGCCTCTCGCCTGCGTCAGGGCCCGCGCCGACTTCTACGCCAGTTGTCCAGGGCATGGGAAGCCCAACGCAGACATCTACGAGCGCGACTACTTCTTCGCCAGTTGTTCAGGGTGCGGGGGGGGGGGGGGGGGGGAGGGGCATTTAGCATCGCAGAGCGCGCCTACTTCATCCGGTGTTCTCGGCATGGATGCCGCACTTTACGGATCGTAGAGTGCGCCTACTCCGGCAGAGTCAGCCGTTGGCACGCACTGCCCAGCTCCTTCTGCCCCTCGCGAGCTCGTGGGCGCGCCGCTCCCTTCGCTCGCGTCGAGGGCCTGCGGAAGCAGAGGGCGCCGACTTTCGGGAGGCATCTCCTCTAAGGGCATGGGAAGCCCACTACGTGCATCGCAGGGCCCGCCTACTTCTACGCCGACACTTCAGGGCAGGGGGGGATCATTTCGCACCGCAGAGTGCGCCTACCTCTACTGCATTTGTTCGGCCCGCCCTTTGCATCTCCGGGTGCGCCTACGTCAGTTGCTCAGGGCATGGGGCGCGCAAGTCGTGCACCCATGAGTGCTACTCCGTTGTGTTCCCGCGCTGAGATGCGGGCAGCTTCGCTGTTGGCTCACGCCCGAGCATTGGCCAGGGCTGATAGGCAGACACCCGTTGAGCCCCCCAGGCCTAGCCTGCCCAGCGCCCCGCCGCCGCTTTCCCAGCGCCAGCTGCGCTCGTCTTAAGGCTCGTCTTGCCCTTCAGGCAAAGCCCAGGATGTGCCTTCAGAACCATGGGGATCAGCATGAGACTCGTAGGCACGAGCAGGCGTTAAGACCTGCGTTTCGTTTCCCGTCAGTGTGTGACCACGCGGTTTATATCCGGGTGTAGCCCGATCCTAGAGGCAGTCAGCGTCAGTGGCATCCGAACTGTTGCCTCCGAGGGGTCCGATCCGTTCCGATGTGTATGTATATATATGTGTGTGTGTGATGCATACATACTCATTTCATGATATAGCCAGGCACCTTCATATAACCATTTGTCTCATCGGATAGGGGTGTACGCAGTCGAACTACAGATGCACAGTCATAGATGTACACGCAGCTGCTTGGCGAAACCATGTAATACCGCACGTTTAGATACAGGGAGAGAGGGACACATAGGAAGCCTCCAATCGAACGTACATGTAGGTATATGCTGGTGTAAGTTTACGTATGCACGCCGAGAAGAGATATTGAAACACACATACCGGCTTCTGTATGCCATCTGTTTGGTTTTCAACGGTGGCGCTTTAAACATACGTCTACCCACAGACAGGTACACACATAGGGGGAGGTCGAGGGACATGTGTGGAAGGACAACATACACACCGATGTGCTTATACATAGGTGTACAGATTCTGGATGTGTGCTTATGTATATATCAATATACATAAACACACATATATATGTGTATATATATAGAGTCACCCCGCATCTAGACTGCAATGACGCACCGTTTGGGGTGTACGCTGGCAAATATACATTCGGATACATATATATATATATGTATTTGTATATGTATATATGTATATTTGTGTGTATACATATAAATAGATTCAACGGGTTTTGACGCTGCCACCCGTTTGTACTGATTATGTGGTGAAGACCCGAACGACCCCAGTCAGCAACATTCAGATGCCTAGCGGGACTAGGGACACGCCAGGATGCCCGCGGAGGTATGGCAGGCCGCCATGCCAATAACTAGCCGTGTGCGTCGCGGTGGTTGAATTTGTGGTTGTCATTTCATGGTCAGCGACGAACCGAGCTTTAGGATTCAATTCCTGGGAGGTGAAATGCGGAATCGGCGCTGGTTTTTTTTTGCTTGTCGGAAACAGGCCTAATCTGGCTCGGCCTTGCTCAATTCGGAACCGTTCCGTCTAATCCGGCGTGGTCCCGTTTAGTCCGTTTCACTCCAGGTTCAAGTTGGCCCAATTCGGGCTTTTGACTTATACGTCGGGCGTAGCAACCACTTTTCGTTCAGACGAAATGTCTTAGGAGTTGCCTCCCCCAAAAAAACCTCACATTTACTCCGCGTGCAGCGCTTCCTCCTTAACAGGCAGGTCAGCGTGAGCAACAAAAAGACGCCTCGCGTTGCGAGAATGTACAGCCACCGGAGTAACCAAAAGGAGAATCGACCAGGTTTTGCCACGTGTCTGTTTGGGACGAAGTTGGCGGTGGTATTTGTTGTATATAAGATATTGACATGTGCCGTGGTCCATGTTCACCAGGACCCCACCCCAAGTCCAACAGAGAAATGTCTCGCGTCCATTCGGCACGGCATGGGATGAAACGCTTTGGCCATGAGGAAATGTCTAGGCATTTTGCGCGGCGCGGAGTAGTTATATCTACATACAAACATCCAGATATACAGACATAAAATCATAGACATACATTTGGTCATGCATATAATTGTACACATTAAGCATATGTGCACACGTCTAAACATACATGCATTGATATGTATATATGTAAATATGTAAATGTGTATATGTAGACAAATGTTGTACATGCAGCCATACAAAGATACGCGCTTACATAAATACATACGTTCATACATACATTCATACATACATGCATGCATACATGCATGCATCCATACATACTCATGTACAGGTGTGTATGCATACATTCATACATATATACATACATGCATACATACATATACATTCATGCATCCATCCATTCATTCATTCATGCATTCCTACACGCACACATACATACATCCCTGAAATGTACATATATATAGATATACATATTCGTGGCGTAACCCATCCTCGAAGTCATTCGGTTATCGCGGCCACGCCCGGCGCACCTTTGCAGGAGGAGCCCACAAGCAGCCTTGTTGGCACGGACGCCCCTGCAGCGACCAGGACGTTTCAACCAGTATTGTAAGTGTGTGGCATGTTTTCGGAGGCCTAGAGGTTGACACCAGCACCAATATTAAGTCGGGCGTGTCCTTCTACAGGAGGAATATTCAAAAATAGTCAACATAATAATTTGGGAAGTATTGTTTCAGTTGTTTTTGGATGATTTTTGATTATTTTTTGAGTATTCGCAGTTTTCGCTCAAAATCTGCCTCTGGGGGACATGCCCGACCTAACACCAGTATCGGCAGTGTGCCTCCACTGAGGGAAGATGCTCCCGATCTTGGCGCTTCCTCGGTGGCCGAAATGGGACCACTTGCGCCAACATTTGGGATCATCTCCCCTGGTGGAGGCAACCCGTGGTGCCAGTGGTGCTGCCCATCTCCAGGCCTCCGATGTTCGTCCGCGCGCGTGGCCGTGCGTGGCCTCGCGGGCGCCTTGGCAGCCCCCAGCGGTCCGACCACGCTCTCGTCCGCGGACGGCTGGGAAACGGAGCTCAGCCATCAGTGTTAAGTCGGGCTTGTCCCTCTACAGGAGGAATATTCAAAAATAGGTTAAAAGAAAGTTTCGTTTTTTATGATTCATTTTTGTGAGGTTTTTCCTATTGTTCGTCCAACATCTGCCTGTAGGGGGACACGCCCGACCTACCCTCAGTGGGCCCTGGAAACGACAGGGCTGTGGTTCTTTTGTTGGTTCCGTCGCCGTTGTTTTACCGATTCCGTCGCCTTTTGTTTACCGGTTCCGGCTCTGCTTCCAATCTTGCAGCCGTTTTTGACCGTTTTTGGTCGCCGTTTGTTTGCCGCTTCCATGTTCAAGAGACTGTCTTCGGAAACGGTAGTAAATTAAACAAACGGCCCTGCCGTTTCCGGGGCCCAGCCACACCGGGTTGTATGGACTCATTCGATAGCACTTCATGATAGTTTGGTATGCCTTCGTAAGTTCGTCTTTGGCGTCGGCTAGCGTCGCGGAGTCGAGGTAGCGCCGATTTAGCGCCTGGTAGCGTTGATTTGCGTCGATTCAGTGTCTAACGTCGGCTAGCGTCGATTACCGCCGATTCGCAGGAGTCGACAAGATGGTATGGGAGGCTCCCAGGAGTTGCCACCGACGACTCGAGGGCGGACATCTTGGTGCAGCAGGAGCGGGGGCGTCCCGTCACGCTCAGCCGCGAGCGCCGCCCCCTCACTCTGCAAGGGCGCCCTCGAGGGCGCGAAGTTATTCGCGTTTCGCGGTTCGGCTCCGACTCCTCATCTTCTTGTTCTCCCTTGGGAGGCGGCGCGAGAGCACAAAGTTATTCACACTTCGCGCTACGGACAGCGCGAAGCGCGAAGTTGTGAGCCCTTCCTCTGCCCTACGGGGGCGCCACTTCGTCTCGAGCAGAAGGGGGGGGTCTTGCGGCTCCCCCGCCGCGCACGTCAACAAGTCCACGGGTCCGCAAGAGGAGGTCGGGGCAGTGCGGGTTGCGAGCACCGAGACAACCCACTCCACCTCCTCCTTCTCCTTCTCCCTTCCTCCTCCTCCTCCTCTCCTCCTCCTCCTCCCCCTCCTCCTCCTCCTCCTGCTCCTCCCCCTCCTCCTCCTCCTCCTCCCCCTCCTCCTCCTCCTCCTCCTCCTCTTTCTCCTCCGCCTCCTCCTCCTCCTCCTCCTCCTCCTCTCCTCCTCCTCCTCCTCCTCCCAACTCCCCCTCCTCCCCCTCCTCCTCCTCCTCCTCCTCTCCCGTCTCCTCCTTCCCCTCCGCAGCCCGGGGCGGGCTGCCTCTCTTTTGCTACCCTCTCTCGTCTTCTCATCTTCTTCGGGCTAAGAATCTCTGAGATCCGACGCTCCAGGGGCCCTCGCCGGGCCTCGGGAGCATCAAACAACGACTAAGGACGAAGAACCGGTCCCGGGGAAGTGGTCTGGACCTCTTGGGCCCACTCATCGAAACAAGTGGAGCAGCCGGATGTTTGGAATACCAGACAACTACAAGGTTGAAGTTCGCTTGGGCGGGGTTGCCCCGTGGGGAAGAGAGGTCCAGCCTAACATTAAATGATGAAGACATCACCAACACAAGTTCATGGAACACGTGTCTTAATTTCCACGTGCCTGATTCTGGCTTAGTTCATTCTGCTTGTCGTGACGCTCTTTCGTGTCTTTTGTCTGTGATGCTTCAACCCCTGATCGCCCACTGATCGCCGAAATGGGTCTGACTGACCCACGTCGCCGAGGAACGTGTGGTTGCGCTATCGTGGGCACACCGCTGATCTGTCGGCGATGTATCTCCGATTCCAGGTCGACGTTTCTTCCCCTTCGACAGTCCCCCTGTATCAAGGAACGTTACAAGCATGCATTTTCAGAGTTTCGCGCGTCTTTCTTGCATCGGCGCTGGACCACCCTGGCGGCGCCTCAAGCGCCGCCCCGCGCCAGGGAGGCGAGTCCAGCGATGATGCAAGAAATCCGCGCGGACCTCCGACAGTTTCAAGTTCCTTGATCCTCTATTACCGGGTCCGGCTTGGCTAAGGAACATTTGCTTTTCAGAAGGGGTTCGGTCGTTTCTTTTGGTTTGCATGCGTTCCGCTACCTGTTTGGCGGCGAGCCCCCCCGGTGTTCCTTCGGACTTCGTAGGCTTACTTGGAACAGAAGGGGCCTCGTTCCTTCTTTGTCGTTGCTTAGGCCAGGCCGAACATTGTACCGCCTCTTCACATATAAGGAACCGAACTTTATACACCGATGTTTTTTTCTGGTCCCGCACTAAGATTCGCACAAGAAAACGGATTATGGTGTATACGGCATTTTGGTGTATACATTTTTGTTGTTTCCAGGGGGAAACGGGGAAACAAGTATACACCACACCACCCCGACGTCGTCCCCGACCCTCAGAAAAGTCTTGGGATTGATCAACAGCCTGCCACTGGTAATATATATATATATACACATATATATATATATGCTCAAGTTTCCGATCATGAGGATGGTCGTGCAAATGCTTCCGATGCCCCAGACGTGCTGGGTCGGCGCACGCGCACCCTCGGAGCCGGCCGTCGGGAGGGCGAGAGCGGGGCCGGAGAGCGAGGCGGAGGGCAGGTTATCACCACCAGCAGCTCTTCGGCTCCGCGTACGACCTGATGGTCGGCTGGTGCGGCCGGGCGAATGACCCAAGTCGAAGAACAACGAAACTATATACTCATGATGTTCCAACCTGCTTTACCCTTGACCACCAGAAAGAATTTCGAGCACCAAGGAAGCATCGAAACCGGAGGGTTGTCACGCGTCGGGCCCTGGGAGGCGATTTTCGTTGGACATTGGTCCGATGTTTTTCTGGGGGCTCGAGCTCATTTCTGGGATGTGTTCCTTAAGTACGATGGGAGCAACAGAGAACAGAATTTCTCGGAGGGCCGCGCGGGTTTCTTGGAGCAGCGCTGGGCCACCCTGGATCGGCGCCTCTCCTGCCCCGATCCAGGAGACCCGCGCAGAACGCTCAAAGAAGTGATGTGCCGGTCGGTCCTTCGGGTCAACCCAAACGGGATCCAGCGACAAGGGGGTGGTGCAACAGATTTGATGCAATAGACTTGTGGGTTGCAATGCATTGAGGGCGTGCAGTACACCCTGGGACGCAGATGTAGTTCTGGATTTCCGCGTGCAATGCATCAGTTGCAGTATAGTGCAGTACAAGTCTCCAGCGCAATTCAGTTGCAATGCGATTGCCCCAAATCTGTTGCACCACCCCGTTTCAGCTGGACCCTCTTTTGGGTCGCCGAAAATTCTTCTGTGCCTCTACCAAGGGCATCGCCTTGAAACCGCCGGGTCCTGAGTGCGAAGCGGGTCGCGCCGTTGCTGGCCATTTCTTCTGTCTGGATTTCACAGTCAAGAGGGGAAAAAACACCTGGACTGGACAAGTGGCGTTTACTAAATGGCCCTGGGCGTGTACTCAACAGCCCTGCCCTGTCCGATTCCTTCTTTGGGCGCGTTTACTGAACGGCTACGCGTGTCGGGGTGGTTATTATCGCGGTGGATGTTTGGCCCTCCCATTCAGGGGAGGAGGATGTACGCACCGATGCCGCCACCGTCCCCTCGTTTCCGCCGTGTTGGGCGTCGTGGGAGGCCCTCGTCGCCGCGGCTGGATTCGCCACGAGATGTCAGTCCGAACGCACCCTGGGAGGGGTCCGTGGAGCAGCGGCATCGGGATCTTTCATAGAGCCTCCAGGAAGTCTGTATCTGGCGGCCGTCGGAGAGGTTGCCGGGCTGGCACCGAGGGGTCGAGTCTGCCCGAGACTCTGGAGGACGTGCCCGTCTTCGCATCGGCGACGGGGTACGGAAGCGGTCCGGGCAATGTGAGCCAGGAGTGCGGTCCGGGCAATGTGAGCCGAGTAGTAAAGCCACGCGCAGAGGGGGGTGGGGGGAGGGGGGAGGGCTTCTTAGATCTTAGAAGCCCCCCTGCTTCTTAGAAAGGCGCGGGCCCTATCTGTAGATTCAGTGCCGCCTTCTGAGAACCAGCCTCCTGCTAAGAAGCCCTCACCCCTCCCTTCACCCGCCTTGTAGATACAGGCGCGCCGCCAAACAGTAAAGCCCCCTCCTCCCCCCCCGTCTTGCCTCGCCCCCCTCTCTCGTCCTCTCCCGGGGCGGGCACAGCGCTCCTGGCGGTGAGATATTTGTTATGCGTCCCCCCTGGGATCGACGTCGTCATTCGTCGTCGGCGTCGTCGTTGTCGTCGTGGTCGTCGTCGTGGCCGGCCGTCGTCGTCGCCGTCATCGTCGTCGTCGTCGTCGTCGTCGGTCGCCGTCGTCGTCGTCGTGGTCGCCCGTCGACCGTTGTCTTTTCGTCGTCGTCGATTCGCCGCTGCGCTGCGCTTCGCCCGGCGTCGCTGGCGATCTTGGGCCGCCGAAGCATTTTTTTGTTGTTTGCCCCAGGGAAGTTCTGTGTTTCTTCAACCTGAATTGCGCACGAGTCTCCGACGACTCATCGCGTATTGCCCCCCAGGTTTGAGAGCGAGGACATGGACGTCGGGAAGCGCGGCACGCAGAATGCTGTGCTTCAGGTGGCCTCCGCCCCCCCCCTTCCCGCCCACTGCTTTAAGACTCGCGAGCCAAACTGCACAACACACGCATACTTTCACAGGAGGAGTATTCGACACTGGTCAAACGATAGTCTGGTGACGATTTATTTGTTTATTATTTGTCAGTATTTCGGGGGTAGATTACTGACTTTTTTCAGATGGTTCCTCCAAAATCCGCCGGTAGGAGGACATGCCCGACTTAAAAGATACTTACATCAGGAGGGGAAAAAACTCACAGACACAATTCATCGTCGATTCCTTAGAAAATATGGGAAAATGTGGGAAGTGGGGGGAAGACACAAACCCTGAACATATGGGAACATCTGGGGAATATCCGTAAGGGCTTCGCCCCCTGCCGCCGGCACCCTCTCTCGGAGAATGGGCCATGGAAGAGCTAAGTCATGAGGCTTTGGCGCTGTCGTGAAGCAGTATCGAAACTTCATGCGAAGCCGAGTCGCAATCAGCAAAACCAACTGATCACAAGAGGGGTTACCACACCTGGCGATTGGTAAGACGTGTATGTTTTAAGGGCTTGGTTACCACACCTTGCGATTAAAGAGCCGAGGGAGTTCTCGCAGTTTGGGTTACCACGCCTTGCGATGGATGTGCGTGATGGGTTTGCATTTCAGAAATGTTGCAAATCCCCTGTGTTTTTGGACCCTGACCCCGCGGATCTGCGTGAGGGGTGGCACCGAATTTCAGAATGTGGCAAATCCCATGTGTTTTTGGACCCTGACCCCGCGGATCTGCGTGAGGGGTGGCACCGAATTTCAGAAATGTGGCAAATCCCTGTGTTTTTGGACCCTGACCCCGCGGATCTGCGTGAGGGGTGGCACCGAATTTCAGAAATGTGGCAAATCCCTTGTGTTTTTGGACCCTGACCCCGCGGATCTGCGTGAGGGGTGGCACCGAATTTCAGAAATGTGGCAAATCCTTGTGTTTTTGGACCCTGACCCCGCGGATCTGCGTGAGGGGTGGCACCGAATTTCAGAAATGTGGCAAATCCCCTGTGTTTTTGGACCCTGACCCCGCGGATCTGCGTGAGGGGTGGCACCGAATTTCAGAAATGTGGCAAATCCCATGTGTTTTTGGACCCTGACCCCGCGGATCTGCGTGAGGGGTGGCACCGAATTTCAGAAATGTGGCAAATCCCCTGTGTTTTTGGACCCTGACCCCGCGGATCTGCGTGAGGGGTGGCACCGAATTTCAGAAATGTGGCAAATCCCATGTGTTTTTGGACCCTGACCCCGCGGATCTGCGTGAGGGGTGTCGATTTCGAGCCCCCCCAGCAATTCAGACAACGCGCCCAGGGGACGCTGGAAAATCCTGTTTGGGCCTCCCCCCCCCTCGCGCGGTCAATCAACTAGTTACAGTAACCAGCAAGAAGCAGAACTGTAACACTGGAAACTACAAGCTACAACTGGTACTGGAAACTGCGAACCCGCGCCTACAGCCTGGTGGCCCCACAAGGGGGCCGGCGGATTTTTATTTGTGTGTATTTGTTTGTGTGTCCCAGGGCCCCTTCATTACAGCCTTACAGCCCGTTTCAGCTCTTGTCATCGGCGTGGGGCTCCGCCGTGCGTTCGGAGCAGGCGGAGGCCGCCATCGGCGGCCGCGCCTCTCCCTCTCCAGCAGCCGCGCCGCATTTCGGCGGCGAGCGAGGGGGGGATCGGGGGTGGACAGACCTCCGACCCTGACACGTCGATTCAGGAATTGGCCGTGTTCGGTTCGCGAGAGGGCGTCGCGGCCGTCATTTTTACGGGTCCAGGTCCGTCGGTTTCGGTCCCAGGCCGTTTTCATTAAGGGGAAGCTTATCAAAGGGAGGTTTGTCCACCGCTGAGGGGAACATGCGAAGAAGGAGGCCTTCGCAGGAGGCGGCGGGACTCCTCAGAAGCCCTCGCGCCTTCCGAGAAGCTCCTCCCACGTCTTCGGGGAAGAGCTCCGTGCAAACCTCTCGGAGGTGCGGGGGGCGTCCGAGCCTTCTCAGAAGGCCCGCCCCTTCTCGCTGCCCCCCCCCCCTGGCCCGCCGCCGAACATGGCCGCAGTCGGGCCGTGCTGTCTTTATGGCTTCCCGCAGTGTTTCGACCGATCGACATGTGGGTGCGAGGCGTTCTCGCTGCGTGGACTGTGCCAGTTTTTGCTGGCGGCGGGTGGGAGGGCCCCGCCCCCCCACCCCCTCCCTGCAGATGCGGGCCGGCATCGTTGAGCCTGCCCCCATCCCCACTGTGCTGTGGTATGGTATCTCAGCCCCACCATCCCACCACCCCAGTCGGGGATGGGGACGTCGGAACGCGGAAGGAGCAGTTCTTCTTTTGTTCGTCAGCGGCGAGGCAGCGAACTCCGCTCACGCCAGAAGCTTGAAAGGGGCACCAATTAGCGAATTAGCCGGCAGGCAAAGAGGGGGGGGGGATGGCCGAGAGGAAGAAGGGACGCTCAGACGTCGAAGAACCCGAAGGGAACAGGCAATGTCCACGTCTTTGGGGGGGCATTCGGCCACGGGGGCCCAGGCCACGCCAATGGGCATAGGGATCGGCTGAACGATGCTCAGTGGGGACGGGCGGGAGGGGGAGGGGCGCCCGACGGCTGCGGGGTGATGGTGATGGCATTTGGCGGGCAGTGAAGATGGCCAAATCATCCTGCTGCTGCTGCCCCCGATGTTTCCGAGAAGAACAAACGCCATAAACAGAAACTTTTGGCGCTCCGCGCGAGTTTCTTGGATCCGCGCTGGGCGCCCCCGGCGGCGCCTCCAGCGCCGCCCCTGGCGCGCTCCGCGCGCCAGTGAGGGGGGTCTGAACCCTCCCTGCAGACATCGTCGCGGCCAGGGCAAGGTGCTCCGCGTCGCACGGAGGGCGTCCGTGGTGCACATCGCCTCCTCCTCCCACCTCCCTTGCTGGGTCTGGGGCTGCACCCGATCGGTGCGAGGTCGGCGGAATGGGGCTGCGCCCTCCGTGTAGGCACCGTCGCACGTCGCACACGGGGCACGGTGCCCCGTGCCGCACGGAGGGCATCCGCGGGGTCCGTGAGCGCACCCGATCGGTGCAAGATCAGGGAGATGGGCTGAGCCCTCCCAGCAGACTTCGTCGCACCCGTGGAAGGTGCTCCGTGCCGCAGGGAGGGCGCGGTGTTCATCGCCTCCTCCTCCTCCTCCTCCTCCTCCTCCTCCTCCTCCTCCTCCTCCTCCCACCTCCCTTCCTGGTCGGGGGGCGCACCTAACCGGCGCAACGTGTGCGGATCGGGGCTGGGCCCTCCCTGCAGGAGTCGTCGCGCCCAGGGTGAGGTGCTCCGTGCCGCACGGAGGGCATCCGTGGGGTCTGTCCCCGCTTCCTCCCCCTTTCCTCCTCGGGTCCAGGAGCGTCCTCGGGTCCAGGAGTGTCCCCGTACAGGGGTATTTTCGACGAAAAATAAAAAATAACAAATGCCCGAACAAAATCAACAAATACTAAAAAGATGGTCCCCAGACTATGTTTGGATTTTTGTTTGATTCTTTTTGGGGTATTTGTTTTTTTTCGTCGAAAACCCCTCTGTAGGGGGACAGGCCCGACTTCAGGCTGAGCCCTCTCTGCTGACACCGGCGCACCCAGGGGAAGGTGCTCCGTGCTCCGTGTCGCAGGGGCATCCTGGGGCTGGCATGGTTCCAGAGACGATGGGGTCTCCGACGGCCACGTCCCGCGGAGGGCAGCCGTGGCACGGTGGGGCGATTCGGGCGCTCCCAGGCGGCTTTCGTTGAGGCGCACTGTCGCGGGGGCCTCCGGAGGTCCCCAGCCCTCCAGGGGAGGGGTGGGATCCGTCGAGGTGCTCGGGGTCATGTTGCTGGAGTCCGTCGCGCGGGGTTGCTGGCGTCAGTGCTCCTGGCTGCGCTGTGGAAGCTTCTGGCGCCGGCGCAACCTGCCGAGTTGGTGGGGATGCTGACGTTGGTGATCCACGCTGGGCTGGCGAGGGTGCTGACGTCGGTGCTCCATGCTGGGCTGGCGGCCCGCGGCGGCCGCAGCGCGGGCTACGCCAGTGGCGGCCAAAGCACTGGCGGCGACCGCGGCGTCCACGGCTCCGCCAGCGCCTGCGACGCACTCGGCACAGGCAGCGCGCACGGCACCCTCAGCCAAGGTGGCTACGGTCCCGCTGGCCGTCTGAACAGGCCAAGTATTCAACGCAGGGAATTCGACGGGAATTGAGAGTTTCCACCACGTGTCGCGAGGCACGGTGGCGAATTGGAGGAGAGGAGCAGACGGTAGCGGGGGGACAGGGATGAAACCGTGGGAGCGTGGTGGTCGCACGGAGTGGATGCAAGGGGAGGGGCGGCAAGGGCAGGCAGGAATGCGGGCGACAGGTTGGATAATGGCGTGGGGAGGGAAGAGTGGAAACTGGAGCTGGGGCAGTCGAGAAGGCCCGCAGATGGATCTGTAATGCCAGATAAGATTAAGGGTTGCCGCGTGAACAGCAGGGAATGAAATCGCCCCAGCTGCGCCAGCTGCAATACACCTTGCGTGGGCACGGCAGCCACGGTCACATTGCCGTTTTTAAACCGCGTAAACTGATCGTGCCTTGGGGCGGGAGGAGGGAGGATGGAGGCTTGGGAGGGAGAGGGCAGCAAGGGCATGCGCAGACCCAGCAAACCCAAACAGGCGGAGGTGAGCAATGATGGCATGATGGTGACAGGGGGCGGATGATCTTGGTGATATCGCTGGTGGCTGTACAGTGATGGCAAATGCGCCAAACAAGCAGACGACGATGACGATTGCTGCGATGACGACGACAACGACTTTTAGGATGACGGCAATAACGATGACGACGGTTGCCATATTGCGATGACGTTGATTGTGAGTGTTGCCGAAGGCGGGGAGGGAGATGATGATGGTGGTGGTTGCCGTCTTGATTACAGTCGTGGTGGTGCCAAGTATGATGACGGCGTTGCGTTGTCAAACCCGAGGTGGTGTGGAGCTTCGCGGTGGCCGGCTTCCACACGCGGTACGAGTCATTCGCGGCGTTCTTAGACTACGTGTTCTTCGCCGAGCTCGCGGACGGGCCCCACCATTCCGAGCGGTCCTCCAGCGCGTAGTCTCACGATGAGTCGCCACGGTGCCCTGCCGCTCCTTCGCCCATCGCACTCCTCATCCCCTCTCGCCTCACATCAGGAAGGAAAAACACAGACACAATTAATCGTCGATTCCCTCGAAAAACATTGAAAATATGGGAAGTGGGGGGGAAGACAAAAAACCAGAAAATATAGGAAGACATAGGGAATCCTGCTATCTGTGTGTAGTTATTTGTGCGACATAGGGCCCCTTCATCACACCCCTCCCTCCGCTCCCCCGCCCCTCGTCCTTTTTCCCTCGCCTTGCCCCCCCCTTTTGCCACTGTAAACCACGGGTGGGTTGCAGTCGCCAGGTGTGTGTGTGTGTGTTCGTGTGTGTGTGTGTGTGTTCGTGTGTGTGTGTGTGCGTGTGTGATCCGAGCTGTCTCCTGCCTCCTCTCGCGTTTTTGTTGTCCCGCCTTCGTGCCTCCGTGTGCCTCCGGTGCAAGCCCGCCGCATGTCGACCAGCGCCTCAGTGTCTTTGAGCAGTTGGCCCTCGCGGGCTCTAAAACATGTATGCATGTATCTATTTAGGTATATACGTATATATAGATACATATATATATATATATATATGTGTGTGTGTAGGCGTGCGCGTGCTCAGCCCGTCGTCGTTGCTCCTTGCCGTCCTGGCCGCCGTTCTCCTCGTCCTCTCCTCGTCGCTGTTCCGCACGTGTCTCGCTGTAGTTCTCGCGCGCCTGCCCACTGGTGTCAGCGCTGTGTCGCCGAGCACGCAGCTGCAGACTAACGTGCATGTGTGTGTGTGTGAGTGTGCGTGCGCGTGCGTTTGTGCGTGTGTGCGTTTGTGCATGCGTGCGTGCGTGCGTGCTTGTGTGTGTGTGTGCGTGTGTGCGTGTGTGCGTGCGTGCGTGCGTGCGCGCGTGCGTTTGTGCGTGTGCATGTGCGTGCGTTTGTGCGTGTGCGGTTGTGCGTGTGCATGTGTGTGTGTGTGTGTGCGTGTGCGTGTGCGTTTGTGCGTGTGTGTTTGTGTGTTTGTGTGTTATGTGCGTGTGTGTGCTGGTTCGGCCATGCTCTGCGTGTGGGTTCGCTCCCGGCCTGCACGTGCACGCTCTTCCACCAGTGGTTTTGCGCGGGTGGACCCCACCTGCACGCTGTCGAGCTCCGTTTTTGTTGTTGTTTGTTGTTGTTTTCGTTGTTTGCGAAGATGGCGTCATTTGCGAGGGTGTATGGCTTCGGGGACGCGAGTATCATGTAGTGTAAGTGGGCTTGTTGGCGCAATAATTGGATAACTTACGGAGGTTTTGCGACTTCGGGGACGCGAGTATGTCTCGGGGGCGCGAATCTCATGCATGTTGCTTTGTCCCACCTCCCCCCCCGGCAAGTCAGAGCACGCGATCCGGGCGTGGTACATTGGGCGGTTTGGGGCTCCCCCCCCCTCGCGCGGACTTCAAGAAGCAGGACTGCAACACTGCAGACTTGCAGCTGCAACTGGTGCAGGGAGCAGCAACCCAGCCCTACAGCCTGGCAGCGCTGGCTCGCCGCCCGGCGACTGCCTCGGCGCCCGGCGCACCGCAGCCCAATTCGGGAGCCTCGAGACGGGGGTCAGTGCAAACGGGGGTCAGCCAGAGCGCCCCGACCTTGCAGGATCCTGCAGGGCCAGGGTTTGGGCGCAGGATCCTGCAGGATCCTGCAGGATCCTTCGCATTGACCCGGGTTTGGGTGCAGAATTTTGCAGGATCTTGCAGGACTCTGCAAGGCCTGACTGACCCGGGTATGGATCGACCCGGGTCAGCAGGTCCCTGACCAACGCCGCCGCGCCTAAGCTGTCGCCTCCCTTCCGCCGACCCTCTTCCCCCTGGCCTTCAGTCGGGTCTGTCCCTCTACAGGGGGATTCCCGACGAAACATTAAAAATACCCCCCACAAATTTTCAAACAATAATCTAAACATAGTCTGGGGACTATTGTTTGAGTATTTTTCTGCTTTTTTGGGGTGTTTTTTGAGGTATGTTTTACATTTTGTGTCGAAGATCCTCCTGTAGGCTGGCCTTCAGTCGGGCCTGTCCCTTCAGTCGGGCCTGTCCCTCTACAGGAGGAAGATTCCGAAATAGGCAACAAAAAATCTAGTCTGCAGGGACGATTGTTTGATTATGCTTGATTTTTGTTGGGAGTAGTTCTAGGGGTATTTTTTTCTGGCCCAGAATCCCCCTGTAGGGGGACACGCCCAACTTAAAGTTGTCGCCTTCCACCCACCGCCTCTCTTCCCCCTGGCCCCCTGCCAGCCTGCGCCATCCTGCTGCCTGGTGTCAGGAGGGGAAACACACACACAGACACAATGAATCGTCGATCCCCACAAAATGTTGGAAAATATGGGAAGTGGGGGGGAAGACGAACACCCAAAGAATATGGAACAGTGGGGGGGGGATCCTGCTACTAGTGTGTATCTACTTCTGTGCCCCAGGGCCCCTTCACTCTTCACCCCCGGCCCCCTGCCAGCCTGCGCCGCCCTGCTGCCTTGGTGGCGCTCCCCCCTCGCCCTGCCAGACCGCCCGGCACCGCGCCGGCGCTGTCTCTGTGGCGACCGCCTCGCCGCGCCCGCCTGCGCCGCGCGGGGCCTGCGCAGCCCGCCGCCGCGCGCCCCCGCCTGCCGTCGTGCCGGGCGCCCCCGCCAGAGGCCTGGCATCGCTCGGACGTGTGCGTTTTTTCCTCGGCGAGGACCATCGAGGAGCATCCCTTTATCATTTCGCGAAAAAAAACACGCACGAAACAGAAAAAGGCTCAGGAAATGGACGTTCGAGCGATGGCCAGGAGGCGCCCGGTGCGCCTGCCGCCCGCTGCTCTCGGGCGTCCGGTCGCGAGAGGTGTTGAGCATGCTTTGACAATTTTTTCCGATGTCTCGCTCAGAGCCTGCGCCACCCACCAGACCACCCCAACCCAGGCCGAAGGCCTCGATTCGCCCTCGGAGCATGGACCAAGACACCGGTGGAGCCCATAACCCCCCCCCGCCCAACCCGAAGTTCGGGTCCTCGGGCTGGGTCGGGGTGGTCCGGCGGGCAGTCCGAGCCCGGCTGTGGGGGGGGCCGCGCCCGACCGACGCGCAGCCCTGCTCCGGGGCCCGCGCACGGCCTCCCAGCTCTGCCTCGGCCCTCGCGGCGGGGGGCCGTTCCTCGGGCTCCTCCAGCGCCTCCGGCCCCCTCTCGGCTGGCAGGTCTAGGGCGGCCTGGTCTTGGACGTTCGGAAAGGGGCGGGGCGACACATACGGGGCGGTGGCGTTGAGGGTAGCACGAAAGGGGCCCTCGAGGGGCCCCGAACGAGCCCCCCCATAGGGCCCCGAAGGGGAACGAGAGGGGCACGGAAGGTGCGCCTGTCGTGCCCCCCCCCCTTGTATCGCTTCCCCGTTAGTGAGCGCCCGATGCTCCGCCCCTTCGCTTGGCGGGCTCCGCCCGCCCTGCGGCTGCTGGAGCCCCGCCCCTGAGTTCAAGTCGGGCCTGTCCCGCCACAGGGGAAATGTTCAGAAATAGTAGATTATTCCTTGCGTGGAGCTCCCCATATGTGCATCTCTTTGCATTGGCATTTCCGCCGTGAATGTCGAGGTGTAAGAAGCTTCGAATATAAATGACCTTGGATGTTGACAGCGTGGGAGAGAGTCTAACTGTGAATGACTTTGAGTGTGTATGAGCTCCAGTAGTACGAGTGAGTCTATGCGCGTGAGCCTGCGCATGGCTAAGCTTGGGGTGAGAGTATCTGCACGTCAGTGGCCTGAGCACGACTGAGCGTGACTGAGTCCTCCTGAGGTCTCTTGGGGCTCCCTGGGGCTTCCTCAAGTCCCCTGGGGCCTGCTGTGGCTTCCTGATGTCTCCTGTGACCTTCTGGGGCCTCCTGGGGCCTCCAGGGCCTTCCTGGAGCCTCCTGGGGCCTCTTGGGGACTCCTGGGGCCTCCTGGGGTATCTTGGGGACCGCTCCTCCTTGCGCCTCCTGGGGCTTCCTGAGGCCTCTTGGGGCTTCCTTGGGCCTTGCTGGCGCTTCCTGGGGACTGAGCCTCCTGAGACCTCCTGGGTCCTTCCTGACGTTTACTGGGGCTTCCTCGGGCCTCTTGGAGCCTCCTGGTACCTCTTGGGGCTTCCTGTGGCGTCCTGATTTCTCCTGGGACCTTCTGGGGCCTCCTGGGCCTTCCTGGAGCCTCCTGGGGCCTTCCTGGAGCCTCCTGGGGCATCTTGGGGACTGCTCCTCCTTGTGTCTCCTGGAGCTTCCTTCCTTGGGAACCAGATGTAACAGATGTAAAACATGTAGGGTTGGAACCACGGGAGAACGACATTCTATAGAATCATACGTAAACCACAAAGGATTCGTGTCCCACAGGGCGCCCGATCGATAGGAACATACGTAGTACACATAGGATTGGAGCCACATGATATGGACAATCTATAGGAACACACGTAAAGCACTAAGGACTCGTGCCCCAGGAGAGGCCTGATATATAGGAACATCTGTAACACCGTTCTAGGCATCCTTGCAATCTGGGCCCCCTGGGGTGCGACAATCAGCATCTCTTGGGGCTTCCTGTGGCTTCCTGATGTCTCCTGGGACCTTCTGGGGCCTCCAGGGCCTTCCTGGAGCCCCCTGGGGCCTCTTGGGGACTCCTGGGGACTCCTGGGGTACTTCTCTTGGGGACCGCTCCTCCTTGAGCCTCCTGGGGCTTCCTGAGGCCTCTTGGGGCTTCCTTGGGCCTGGTGCGTCCTGGGCCTCTTGAGACCTCCTGGGTCCTTCCTGGCGTTTCCTGGGGCCTCTTGGGGACTCCTGGGGCCGCCTGGGGCATCTTGGGACCGCTCCTCCTTGAGCCTCCTGGAGCTTCCTGGAGCTTCTTGGGGCTTCCTTGGGAACCAGATGTAACAGATGTAAACCGCGTGGGATTGGAACCAACACCCAGGATTCGTGCCCCACAAGACGCCCAATCTATAGGATCACACGCAAAACATCTAGGATTGGAG